CCCCGAAGTGGCCCAATCCTGGGTGAACATGACAGTTGGTTCTGGAGAAGGGACAGTCACCCAGCCCAGGTCCCACACGTGTCACCCTGCTGTGCCCGCTCCCCTGTTTCCCATCAGTCTTACATCTCTGCTGCAGCTACTACAGCAGCTCCTCAGTCTCCTTCACCCTCATCTCTCCTGTTTCTACCTCCGCAGGCTGTTCTGGGTCCAGTGTTCCTGGTCCGCGGCCTTGCTCCATGACTCTGCCCACCTGGATGAGAGGACACAGAGGCTGGAGAGGCGTTCGCTGCCTGTGTCCAGTGCTGCAACCCCAGCCCCCCTCCGGTCCCTGCTTACTTGGCTGCCCACTACTGGGGGATTTTAAAGCAAGGAACATCTCCCAGGGTTTATAAAGTAGCTGAGAAATCAGGTGCTCCACAAATACTGATTTGAAAAGCAGATAGGCAAAAGAAGCAAAGGAACTCTTATTCTTGCTGTTAATGTGATTTTAAACCCCACTCCTTTGAGGACCAGGAATACAGGGCTTCCAGCTTTAGAAACCCTCCTCTTCTGTTCCATTTAAAAAAAAATAAAAATAAAAAAAATGAACCAGTGCCTGCTCCTGGGCCAGGTCTCACTCAAATAATGTCCCTGACTTTGACAAAGGGACAGAAAATAGGGAGATGATGCAGCAGCAAAGTTACTGATGAACAACGGAATGAAACATGATGCACCAGTAAGAAGCTGCACGTGTCCACAAAAAACAGGTGCCAAAAACATTCCCGAGCTGGAAATCCTGAGATACTAACAGCTCCTAGTGTTCGCTGCATTGCTGCAATTCAGACACAAAATGAAGCATTGCAGCTTACACATCAAATTTCATTAATGCTTTGCCTTTCTCTGGAGACATCTAAAGCTCAGCCTACCATTAACAAAGCTTCCTTTCACCACTAGGAAAGCATACAGCCTAAATCACCCACATTTGAGTCAACACAGAGAAACTGTAACTGAGACACAGGAAGAGTAACTCGGCTCTCGCTGCCTTGCGTAAGGCAGGGTGGCAAGTCAGCTACAGGGCAGAGAATTTAACTACAGGACTGCATTTGTATGCACAACCACAAAAGTCCAGGATTAAAACAAACATGGGGGAAAAAAAAAGGGGGGGGAGGTAACTAGCTGTAATAAAGGGTTAAGTTCAGCGTCACCTTTACAGCCAAATCTGGCTCTCAAAAAAATTACTGGATTAGGCCAATACAGTGGACAAAAGTGAGCACTAAAAGCTTTAATCCATGACAACTGTATATGCAGAAAGAGGAATTCCTACACAGCCATGAGCCTCAGCCTTCCTGGCAAGCTTTTCCTGCAGGTCTGAAAGTACAGCGAAGTCCATAATCATTTCTCTACTGAGCTGACATTGCTTGTGGCTGCAACTGTTGTCACGAGCTGCTATAACAGGCAGATTAAAAAAATAATAAAAAACCAAAACCACTCCATACCTGGGAGCTTATTGAATTTCTTGTCAAGCTGTGGGAGAAACTGAACCAAAAATGAAGAAGAAAAAATTTTTGAACGCACCACTGCATGCCCCTAACATCAGGTGCAACACCCCACACCTCATCCAAAATTCTCCAGCCCAGGAAGGTGGACTTGCAGCCCGCTTCGCTGGAAGCCGGTGGCTGATTCAGAGGTGGTGCCAGGATCAGCAGCTACTGCAGGAGAGAAAACAGCCCCCACATACCCCAAGGTGCGTCCTTAAACTGCTCCCCATCTCCCCCCTCCTGCAGGATGAATCCCAACACTGACTGAAAGGACCTGGGGATAAGCCTGCTTTTAAAAGTAGTTT